GCCTCTAAGCAGGCAAGGGTTTTTAAAACAAGATCCATGGAGCTCAAAGCACCTGGACAAATAGGGGGACGAAGATGCACGAGGGTGTTCGCTGGATAGCCACATAGGCTGAAGACATACCAGTGTGGCTGCTGGATGCCATTAGAAAAGTAGCAGGGACAACCTAATAACAAAGAACTTTGATGAAGAAAATTAAGGAAACACAATCTATGACTTAAATTGTGGACAAAGTATTGGTGAGGGAATTGAAGGAAGCAAAGCTCAACGACTAAAACTGTAGACAAAACATTTGGTGATATAAATTCAGGAAACCCAAGCTAGATACTAAAATTGTGGGTGAACAATTTAAGTTGAAGGAAATTAAGTAAACAAATTTGATGACTAAAACTGTAGACAAAAACTTCGGTGACGGAAATTGAGGAAACAAAATCCAATGAGTAAAACTGTGGCCAAACTTTTGGTGGAGGAGACTTTGGAAACAATTGAAACATCTAATGACAAAAATGGTGAACAAATATGTTGGTGGAGGAAATTCCAGGTGAGTACTCTCATTCTCTGACTGCAGCCAGTTTGGAATCGCTGTCCAGCAGCCAAAGAGCAAACCATGGCTATCCAGCCACCACTCCCTCAACATGAAACTATCCAGCCACAAGATGTTTCTGGTCGAGGTTTTTGACTAAAAAGTTGCCCACGGTTTTGCATTAGACTTTGCGTCTTTTACCTTATCCCAAAAAATTAGTCCACAGATTTAGTAACCCGTTTGTTCTTCCTTAATGTCCTTACCATGTTTTGGTCCCCCGTTTTTGTCATTAGGCTTTGCTTCCTTGTCATTAGATTTTTTAAATACTATGACTATGTTTCCCTCACAGTTTGGTCACAGTTTTTGTCATTAAAATTTGCATCATCAATGTTTTCACCATTTTTGTCCACAGCTTTAGTCATCAGATTTTGTTTCCATAACTTCCTTCACCAATTTTTGCTCACAATGTTAATCATCAAATGTTGTTTATTTTACTTTTAAATCTCCTTTGCCCAAAATTTTGCCCACCGTTTTAGTCATTCGGTTCTGTTTCCTTAACGTCCCTCACCAAAAGTTTTGTCCACAATTTTAACCATTTGATTTTGTTTCCTTAACTTCCCTCACAAAAAATGTTGCCCACAGCTGTAGTCATTAAAATGTGCTTCCTTAATTTCCTCCACAAAACAAAACGTCGACAACTTTAGTCATCAGGTTTTGTTTCCTTAACTTCCTTCACCATTTTTTGCCCCATTTTTTGTCATCAGATTTTGTTTCGTTTATTTCCTTTGAGCAAGAAGTTTTGTCCACAGCTAAAGTCCTTAGACACCAAAGATTTTGTCCACAGATTAGTCCTTAGATTGTGCTTCCCTCACAAAAGTCCACAGTTCTAGTTAATCGATGTTATTTCATGTTATTTCCTTCATTTTCCTCACCAACTCTTTTCCGCACAGCTTTAATCATGAAATGTTGTTTCCTTAGATTCCTTTACCAAAAATATTGCCCACTGTTTTAGTCATTAGATTTTGCTTCCTTAATTGCCCTCGCCAAATATTCCATAGTTTTTGTCATTAGATTTTGTTTCCCTAATGTCCCTCACAAAAACTTGCCCACAGCTTTAGCCATTAGCTGTTGTTTTTAAACTTCCTTCGCAAAAGAAACTGTCCACAGCTTTAGTCAACAGATTTGATTTTCTTAACTTATTTCACCAATTTTTTGCCCAAGGAACTCTGACACATTTGTACAGTTCCGCAGTGGGGATACCCCACGCCTGAAGAGAGGGCATCTAACAAAGAGGCTCTTCAGGCTGTGCTGATATCAGCAAGGATGTTTGCTGACGTAGCTGCCTTTCTAAAACACCTGTGATGTAAACCATTGTTTCTGACCCAACCACCTTTCCGTTACGCATACGGCCGTTGACCTGTCCAGGTTCCAGCGCTCTAAACCGGTATTGTAATCACTAGAGTGAAAAATCACAACTGATATAGTTCTTGCGAGCATGGATCTCAGTGTGTGTGTGTGTGTGTGTGCGCGCACGTGCTCTGACCTTTGTGCTCTCACATGCGTGTTTTTTGGTGCTCTCTGATATGTGCTCTCCGATACATGTGCTTTCATATGCGTACTCTCATGCGTGTGCTCTAGAGTGCGGAAGTTCGCCTATTCACCCATGTCCTGCTTTAACACTAGTTTGGGTTCTCTTCCGGGATAATTACTGTATATAGATCCCCTGGAGCTTCCCTGTGCGGTGCTTGAAGCAAGCCTTTGGCGATTACTTTTTCATTGTGAAAGTTCTGGCTTTGGAACGATTCTTTAGCGGTGCAACAAGCAAACCAAACAATCCAAACCCGTAGGCGCGCCAATAATATTGCCCCCCTCCCCCGGGTCTTCACAACTTGCGCTGGCCACATGGTGTACTGATGAGCTTGTGGTGCGGTATTTGTCACACCTGGGGTTTGTGTTAGGGGTGAGTGTACATGCAAACTTCCCATCATCTGTCTTTCGATGTTATTTGTTCTTTTGGGTTGGTGGGTGGCGCCGCGGGCGTCTATCCTTCTGAGTTTGCCTGTAGGTGCAGCAACTGCAGGCTAGACTCATGACCTTGGACATGAGCTGAAAAATGGGTATTGCAGCGTGCCACCAAAAAAAGAGTTGGCGTATGAGGGTGTGAAGATTGACGACAATCCCATCCAGGCTTGGCACCTGATGTGTGCAGCTTGGCTGATCAATTATATATCAATGTCTTCCACATTATAAATTCCAAAGCGATTTCTGGTCATACGGCTTTGCAGAAGTGGTCGGGGGCAATCCCACTTGCGGGAAACACGCGGAAAGGCTCCTTGCTTGGTAAGGACAGTATGGACAACGACATTGTTCGTAGACGGCGTTGAAGGGATTTGCCTGAGACACGCCCATTTTCCTGGTTAAGCATACAAAAAGTATCAAACATGTATATTATCTGCCTCACAACATGAAGGGCCACTCTGCCCGAAAAAGGCAGAATCTTTGCTGACAGTATCTTTGAAGTAAAAACAGGCAGCTGCCCGACTCCCAGAAAGGTCGAAGTCGAGGCCCAACTGGTGTGAGGTGAGCCGGGACACGGCTGGGACACGGCGGGTAGTATGCGGTGCACACAAAGCCCATCAGGAAACCGGTCAATGCAAGAACGTCAGGGGTTGGCGTACCAAGGCAAATCATCTTTTGACCCAGGGGTTGGCGCTGGCCAGTTCCTCAATCAGATCAAGCAAAATGATGCCCAAATCGCAAGGCATGCTATGGCAACTACACTGCACTTTGGTTGCATGACCGAACGATGATTTCGACAGCGGGAGCGTCCTCGAAGGGAAGAAGGCAACTGACCGGCAGTGAGCGGGTCAGCCATTCAAGCAGGGGTTCAGGGGTTGGAAAGCTTAGTCTTGGGCGCCAAACGTTTCAATCCGTTTGGCCCTCTACATGGGAGGCGAGTTGCTGTTGGAGCATGGCAGGGAGGCAGTTGGGTTTTGGAAAAAAGGCAGCGACCCAACGATGGCCGCTCAGCCCAAGTCAAAATTTTGTGTTTGGAAGGGGGCCGTCTCTCTGTTTGGAGCTGAACAAAAAAGCAGTCAGCCCCAAAGACAGCGGACAGGAGAGGCCGAGTACGTGCAAGCGATGCAAATGCTTACGGCGGATTAGGGCGGAGACTAAACGCATTGTCTTTGCAACGTTGTTTTTGTCTAATCCTCAACCTGATCGAATCGCTCTGTACACGTTTTCAGTTTTGCTAGAACGAGACTCTGAAACCCTTCGTGCAACCTTTGTCGGGAAATAGCCACTGCCGTCATAAGGATCCACCAAAAAAGGTGGACAAATCTTTCTTCAAGGAAACCCTGCAGAGTTTTCTTGTTGTGCACCGCAAGAATATTAATGTGGCTGGCTTGGCCGTCACGTTCTTCCACGACAGCTTGGGTCGAACTGGTTGAAGGCTGCATGGAAACTGGTACGGTAAGGATGATAATGAAGAGTATGATGAGGAGACGGAGGAGGAAAAGATCGCCAATGATCGTGCTTGAAAGCATCTTGTTTGCAGAGTGACCCGAATCATCCAAACCTTTCCTGCACGTCACCTCAAGCACGGATCCCCAACCAGCTTAGCCCAGCCCCGTTATCCAAGCCAAAATGCAATCAACATTAATTGGTTGCCAATCACATTGCTTTCAAAAAAGAGTGCATGAAAAACAACCAACAAGACACACGTGAGGTGCATGATTCCCTTCAGTGCTTCACCAGCTGTACTCCAATTCTCAATGTCAAACACGTTTCCCAAACAATCACGTCACCGTGTCAATCTCGTGAATCTTGTGACGACGAGCCGAGACGTGTCGAGAGCCGCCGTGGCTTTGGGGTGTGTAGATAGCGTTCATCCGGGCGTGGGAGGCACTGCTGAACATGGAGGCAGCCAGCTCTAAGTGGATCTGCGGACTGCACCACAAAAGGCGTTCCAGCAATCAATCTGGGGGCACGCCAGCACGCAAGTTCCATGGATAGTTGCATACCTAAACTCGCCCTCACAACAAACAGCACAGCACAAGAGCTTTTGCTGGATAGTTTTGACCAAAGGTGCACAACTCAGCACGTTAGCTGCACATCCATAAAGGGAGGCCAGATGGTAAGCTCCATGATGCTCCATGGCGCAGCACCTGTTACATATGAACATACATAGAAACATTTGCTCTTGAAAGGCCTTGGCTTTTTTTGCTGCTTCGTTTCCAAAGGCTTCCCTTGCAACGCATGTGGCGCAGTCAACAGGAGGAAACCCTGTCGGGGAGGTTCACCTGTCAGGGTGCTCCGTGATCGGCAGCCTCGGCAGTGTTTGAATACCTCGACCCCCGGTGCGGCGGTAGAGGGGTTCATCACGCTGCAACAGCTGGGCAGCCAATCGCTCGCACCTTCTTTTTCGCTGGACTCTCAGCCCACAGTGCTCACGCGGATGGATTTTCAATGATTTTCAGGTGATCGACGCTGCAAAGGAGCCCGGAGGTGGCGGGGACGTTCATGGGAGGGACGCGACTTGCCGATGTGCCGAGCAGCTCGCAGCCTGCAGGTGGAGCATGCACTGCTAAACAGATCGAATCCACATAATCCGGGGAATCGTGCGACAGCAGCCAGAACAGAGACACCACGGCTACGCCAGACTATGCCGTACTATACCTCGATTGTCAATTATCTGACATGAGTGAATTGTCGCCAACCCTGATCCTGGTGCGGAACAATTGTGATTCCAGCCAATCATGCAAAACAATCAGAACAAAAGCCCAATTCAACACTCCCGCACTCAGCGACTTTCCCTTTTTGATCATTAGCGCCACAGCGGAGGAGCGGGTCATTTCCAATTCACTCGGAGGGCCTGCCGCTGATCGATCGCCGGAGGAGCAATGAAATCCAGTGGCTGAGGGTCGTGAATCGATGAGCACAAAGGAACAACTGATGTCAGCATTCCGCATGTTTCTAGACATGGTATGAGCTCATATAAGAACATCTTACAGGAGCATTCCGAATGGCGCAATCACATGCATAAAGTAAAAGTGCATATGAGGTGGTATGAGATAGCAACACGTCGTGGTTCATCTATGTCCATCTCATGATCTGTAGATCGCGGGTGGTTCTTACACCAACCTGGGATGATCATTGCCTGAGGAAATTATGCAAATTGGATATCTCTGCAGCGGTGCTAAGGCAGCAGTGCTGAGAGGGTCTGGAAGTTGTTTACGACTTGTGCATGAGACAGAAGTGCTGGAGGGCAACGGAGCCTGAACCCCAACCCTGACAACTCCCTCCAGGCCATTGCTAGTTACTAGGGTGGAGGCCATCGCTGCTAGGTTTCATTCATCTGCAGGGATCTACCCAAAACAAGACTTCGACCTGAACTTTGCGAGGAAAGCCAGTGCTTTGTTGGTGGTAGCTGGGTTTGGGGTTTTCCAAGAAGCCCTAAGGCACAAGCAAAGCAGTAATGCTCTCCACCCCCAAACAGGACTCATTAATCTAGACAAGAAGGCTTAGGATGTAGACTTCAACTTCCCTTCTTCTTCCCGGTTAGCCTTGGTGTCCTCCTTGATGTCTAAACGATGGGCCTTCAACCTGAGAATGGACTGAACCGCAGTGAGTCAGAAGCAATATCTGGCATGTCTTCTGCAGGACCGTTTGCCCCCCAAAAGTACATAATTGAACAAGCGTACAACAGTCTTGTTGCAAAAGCTTCTAGATAAAGGCAAAGGAGCTGAGACTTTGTACTCTCAAGCCCATGGTTCGGCAATCATCTAGTCTATATATATATATACACTTAAAAGGCAGAATAAAGTGGAGCGAGCTTCGAAAAGCACTCTCCTCCATTACTGTGAAGCCCAGATCTACTTCTCTACCGGCTGATCAACATCTCACTTTGAGTTGAGTTAAACTTCCTGAAACGATCACAAACACCGTCTGTTCAACAGTTGTAACAATGGAATCTGCTGATTGACCGTGGATCTATTCATGCTCCATCTGGGTTGACAAAGGGCTCTTTTGGGTTGTAAGATACAAGCACCTGGGTCAGGGTTGGGGGCTCTTAGACCTCCGTGTCGGTGGGCGGCCCCCCAGGGGAAAAAGAGATCAAATCTGTGTTGTCGGACCCATTCGAACTGCAGGTCCGGTGTTCTGGCTTTCAAGTGTTCAAACTGCCAAAGGCGTTGTTGACTTGTGCAGCAATGCTCAACAGAACAGAACACTTGGCCACCCCAAAAGTTGGCAACTTCTTCAACATGTTGTGCTGTGTTCCAATATGAGCTCCAAGTCTCTTTTGTGCTATGTGGTCGGCCCATTACCATCGGACCATCAGCATGTTTGTATGAGGAGATATGCACAATGTATGCATCCCAAAGACTTGAAGACGAAAACTCCCCCGGCATGTAATTTGCTTTGGAACAGATGATGCTCCAGGTAAAACAAATATTCTAGCAGATTCTATCAGAACAGCATCGACAGTGCACATGTATCAACACAGTCGGGACTGACTGAGCGGCGAGCGAACGAATCGGCTGGGAGACCCGACTTGGTCAGCTTCATGGTGGTCGGAGCGACCATGAACTTCACCTGGCGCTTGCGAACGGGCGATAAGTGCTAGGTTTTGTGATGTGGGAATCGGACATGGGATGATCCCAAGTCCATTTTGGGGGATTTGCCCGTGGGATGCACTGTCAAACATGGGCAGAAGTTCCAAGATCCGATGAGCAAAGGGTTGTCAGAATCAACATGATGCACTCCCGGATCCTTCCAAGATCTTCCAAGCAATTGGATCCTCCAACATCAAAAACCATCAGCTGCACTGCGCATTTGGCCTGCTGTCTGCCGCTGTCCGGCGGGGGGCCGGTCGGAATGCCCAGGAGCACGTGCTGGCCGAGCGGAGCACTTGACGAAAAGTCAACGGAACAAAAAGGCTGAACTGAAAGGTTCCTAACCACGGAACCTCATAAACCAAAGGAGAGGGTGTACTATTACTATGATACACTGATACATATCCTCACTGTTGATGACCCATTCCCTTCCCGAAAGCCCCGGCACATGCACCACGTGTGAACTCCGCATAGGGAGCGGCCCGCCAGAGTGGATTCATCGTTTGTAAGGCATCCGGTCCGGTCTCGTCGTGAAACAAAACTCCCTGATCCACACGCAAAAAAAACACGTGTCGGCACCCTTTTGAGGCTTGTCTCTCGTGCTTTTGAGGCAGCGACTTTGGGTTCCAGGATGTTCCAGGCAAAATGACTATACAACGAACACGGATTGGTCTCTTCCGCCATAGTGCAGGGAAATAGTCAAAGAAACGTATATTATATATACATACGTAAAATAAAAGAAAACTATTGTCATACACACTCATACAAAGCATTCTCCTCACTCACCACATTTCGAAAACATCTCACCTTGCCCTCTCCAGTTTCGCTGGCTTGCTGAAATCCTCAGATGCAAAACGTGCGGGGCCCGACTCGACGACCAAACCCATCCATGGGATGTCTTTAAAGACTCGAAAAAGAAAAACTAACAAACAATCTATTTAAAGAAAAACAAGATGGAGCCCACGAACCCGAATGCAAACACGTTCGAAAAGCTACATATGTCCAAATGACACTCTTGTAGGACACTCTTGTGGGACACTCTTGTGGGTCACTCTTGTAGGACACTCTTGTGGGACACCCTTACGGGACACTCTTGTAGGACACTCTCGTGGGACACTCTTGTAGGACACTCTTGTGGGACACTCTTGTAGGACACTCTTGTGGGACACTCTTATAGGACACTCTTGTGGGACTTGTACGACACTCTTGTGGGTCGCTCGTGTAGGAAACTCTTGTGGGACACTCTTACAGGACACTCTTGTGGGACACTCTTGTGGGACACTCTTGCGGATCACTCTTACGGGGCACTCTTGTAGGACAGTCTTGTGGGACACTCTTGTGGGACACTCTTGTAGGAAACTTTTTGCGGGACACTCTTGTAGGACACTCTTGCGGGACACTCTTGTAGGACACCCTTGTGGGATACTCTTGCGGGTCACTCTTACGGGGCACTCTTGTAGGACACTCTTGTGGGACACTCTTGTGGGACACTCTTGTAGGAAACTTTTGCGGGACACTCTTGTAGGACACTCTTGTGGGACACTCTTATAGGACACCCTTGTGGGATACTCTTGTAGGGACACTCTTATGGGACACTCTTGCGGGACACTATCTGGGAAACTCTTGTGGGATACTCTTGTGAGACACTGTTGTAGGACACTCTCGTGGGACACTCTTACGGGACACTCTTGTAGGAAACTCTCGTGGGGCACTCTTGTGGGTCACTCTTGTAGGAAGCTCTTGCGGGGCACTCTTTTGGGACACTCTTGATACCACCATTCATCCCGCTCACCAGCGACACGCCGCGTTTACACCAAGCATGTTTCGCGCTCCCCAGTGGCACGGCAGCACGCAAACGCATCCCACCAATGGCCGCGCAAATCCGCATGGCACTGCGACATCGCGATCGTAATTTCGCCACACGGTCTGCCATACACTAGCAGCAAGCATATCGCATGTTACCACCAATCACCCCGCTCACCAGCGACACGCCGGGTTTACGCCAGCATGTTTCGCGCTCCCCAGTGGCAGGGCACGACGCAAACGCACTTTCCACCCAGGCCGCGCAAATCCTCATGCGCTGCGTTTACGCCAGCATGTTCCGCGCTCCCCAGTGGCACGGCAGCACGCAAACGCGCTTGCCACCAGGGCCGCGCAAATGCGCATGGCACTGCGACATCACGAACGTAACTTCGCCACACGGTCTGCCACGCAATAGCAGCAAACATATCACATGATACCACCCATCATCCCGCTCACCAGCGACACGCCAGGTTTACGCCAGCATGTTTCGCACTCCCCAGTGGCAGGGCACGACCCAAACCCACTTTCCACCCAGGCCGCGCACATCCGCATGACGCTGCAACATCACGAACGTAATTTCGCCACACTGTCTGCCCACATGCACACTAGAAGCGTTTCATACGAGACTTCCTGCAAAAGTCACGTGTGCAGTCTCCAAAACGAAACGAGGCTTCCTCCAAAAGTCACGCTTCGAGTCTGCAAGACGAGCATTTCGTACGAGACTTCCTCCAAAAGTCACACGTCAAGTCTCCAAAACGAGCGTTTCGTACGAGACTTCCTCAGAAACTCACATGTCAAAGTCTGCAAAACGAGCCTTTCGTACGAGACTTTCTCCAACATGTCAAGCGGAAACACCCATCGGAGTTCACACATCACGCAGCCGTGCCAAGCAGTTTCGCGATTCCAGCCCCTCCGAACAACACCCGCTCACGCGCCAATCCCAATGTCACAGTCATATTCACCTCTACCACAACTCACAACCTCACGATTCCCTGCGCCTGCCAAGAATCTTGCCGCGTCCACACGTCTGACGCGCGCAAGTATACTGCGCCTGCCACGAAGTGTCACCTCCGTCACAGCTCGCAACTTCACGATTTCCTGCGCCTGCCACGAAAATCTCACTTCCACACCTCAAAGCCCGCACAAAGTACTGCGCCTGCCACGAAAAGTGACCATATCATATCATGTGAGCTTCCGCAAAATTTGCACCACACCACACGTTTGGAGTGGATTCGACCCGTTCTGAGGACACTCCCATCCACCAAATTCGCCATTTCAGCTGAGACTTGTCACGAAAACAGAGCTTCGATGCAACACCCTGAAACGCAAACCCCAATGGCACGGCCACATCCAACACCCCAAAGACACCACTCTCTAAACGCTAATCCCAATGGAACTGCGCAGAAAACTGCGGATCTCACAAAATGCTGCGCCTGCGCAGTGAAATCATCCTCCACACTTCAACATCTTACATTTCCACACATTTCCACGCCATTTCACACGAATCTGACACGTCACGTTTCCATCCCAAACCCTCTCCAAAAGCTTCCCCCAATGGCAGCGGCCTTAGCGCCCTACTGCGGTCACTTGCGGACGGTTGCGAACGCTGAGACAACGCGTCGCGAACAAGGCTCTACCGCCAGACCCCCAGAGTTAAACGAGAACCCTTCGCTACGCATTCGGGAAAAATAAATAAACAACTATGCACAGGGAAGGAGTAGGTACAGAGGGTTCTTTCTTCGTTTGGTGTGTTTCGAAGAATTCTTGAGGTGTACCAAGCGACTACACCTATATATACTGTAATTTGCAAAGATATGCTAGGCTAAGACTCTGGATCTCACGACAACCGATGCAAATCCTGCAACCTCAACAGCTTCCACCATGCATGCTTTTGAGACAATATTTTTCCAGACCAAATGTGGATACCATAGAGGCCCAGTGTTCTGCGGCTTGGGAAGATCAGCAAGTATCCTTCCTTGCCAAGGTCTCACATCTATACTATACCATTGCTGCTGCATGTACGTGTTGACTTTCAATTTGCAGATTCATAGTGTGCTCGTGAAAAATGAGCACAAAGATCAATGGAGAGTACACTTCACTTGCCCATACGTGCCCCCTCAAACTTTCGGCCAAGTCCCAAGCGGTTCCACATGAGGCTTTGGGATTCGAAGAGTTCTCAAAGGTGTGCCCTGCATGAGTAAAGTATGATAAAACGAGTTGCTCGATCAACAGAATTTCCACTTCTCTGCACCTCCTCTGCACATCCAACTGTGTCACCAAGGACCTGTTTTGGGGGGGCTACGGAAAACAAATGTCGCACGAGCTGAAATGTTTCAAACACAATCACTGCCGCGTATGTGCACTATAGTCACATATATATAATCATCCAATGGCAGCTCTAAGGATGTAGAAACACCGAGTTCAATCCCTGCCAAAGGTGCGAACGCACGCGAAGCTGAGTTGCCCTGACCACCACGGTTTTGCCAATAGTAATGTTGCTTGATGTCATAGACATCCACCTGGGTGCGACGGACCAGTCATTTTCTCTGATCCATCGGCCAATGACTGCACGAACCTCCGATCGGCAAACTCCGATGTCGATTAGATTAAGTTGTGAACTTCAAACCCTTCTGATATCTTCTGATCAATCTTGCACCCCACAGTCCACCAAAGCATGTATATAAGTATATATATAATTATATACAATATATACACGTATAAGTAGCCTAGCTTGGTGATGCTTGGTGTGCCCGAGAGCATTACCATGACCAATGATCTCAGGACTTCTCGGAAATTGCCAACTGCGTTCGTTGATTTCTTGCTGTATCTCACATCCACCAAGTACACATCCCACACTCCGTGGACTGGCACCGGAGTCGGGATCTCCTGATTTTCTCGGCGCTATGCTGGATAATCTTGCTAGAATATAATGTAGGTGATGAGATTAGTCTCCTAGGTTTTCCTTCCTAGACTCTAGGATACTCTAGGAATCTATATAGTTACGTGTTACATCTTGTTACCCTGGCTGCACTTGGCCCAGGGGTGACATATGGTGTCATCTTGACCCAGCAACTGACTCTCCACGACTCATCCAGCCTTCCCATACACCCCCACTGGCCATCTGCCAAACCCATTTCAACCTTCGTGACCGTCAGAGATGTTCAAGCTCGGAGTGGCCGCTAACAATGCCCGGCGCCCTCCCGCTCAGCCCTGCTAGCGTTTCCCTTACCTCACTTCCTTTCCTGAGGCTTTGCACATCTGTTTGGCGCGGTGCAAAAAGACCTCAGTCTGATTATGCGGTGGTGAAGTGCTGGAGAGAACCGATATTTATGGTGAAAGGGTATCCCCCAAACACGCTGCCAAACTGCGAAAGCCTGCAGGTCCCAGTTTTTGATCCAAACACGTGTTTACAGAGAGGGACGCTCTGGAGGCCTCAGTTTTCCACTTGTCAAAAACTATCATTGTCTATCGCTTGAAACATGTCCAACATTGTTAAACAATTGCAACTATGCTACGTAAAAAACAGGTATCATTTGTTCAGAAAAACATCTCCACAGAACGAATTTTAAAGAACACGTTCCTAAAAGAAATTGTTTAAATTGTTCAAGAACGATAATTTCATAAAGCGGGATCGAATTCAATTTTGCTTGGGAGGGGGGGATCATTTAGGGGGCGACCCCCCTTGGAGCGGGCCAGGGCTACTTAGCTAAATAAGGGCTACTGAGTTAAGTCTAAACGAATCTCTAAATATTGAACCTCGCGCGCAGCCGCAGCCATCTTCGCGATGGAAAACAATAATGAAAAAAAGAAGCGTTTGCACTAATCATTGGGTTCCTACAGTAGATATTTTGGGAAACTCAAGCCATAAGTATGGAGATAGCCTCGAGTGAAGAGCTGGTGTCGGTATTAGCAAACGAAGATGCTGAACATGAAGTGATCACCAAGGACCAATGAAGGCTGATGGGGTGGGAGATCAATCCAGTCTTGGGAGGGTTGTGTATGTTGTGTATTCAATTGGCAGCAAATCACAAGCAAATTCGCCCATTTCAGGGTTGATTGGCGTAATCGGAATACCTGGCATTGACATGCCTTGCCAACAAGGACTCTCCTGTATTATCAGCTGCTGGACATCCATCTGTTGATGCAAATCAATGGCGCAGGTATGATGTTCTTTTTTTGAGTTAGGAATCTGAGACTTGCAGGTCAGCGATTGAGATCATGTCATATATTATTGGATGATTTGCTACAATGGGGACTGATAGGTGAGTCTATGCTCAGTTAATTTCCAATCACCCAACAGGAACAATGTTGCTACTAGGGCTTTTGTCGCATCGCACTTGATGGAGGAGGAGGAGGAGGCGGTGGTAGCATTGGAGGTCAGCAAGAACTGGCTGACAAGATTCAACAAATTAGCCAAAGCATTGCAAAATGCAAAAGAAGCCGGGACGAGATTCTATTGTAAAATGCGGTCGTTGCGGGCGGGTTGACCTTGTTTATAATGATAATATACAATTCATTTATGACTGATATTATTTATGCGTGTGCATAATTAATCCGTGCGTACAATGATGTAAAATGCTGCTGACCGCTGATTTGGGGTTTGGTTTAAATACTCTGCCAACCCCCTCCCATTTCATTGGAAATGATGTTTCGCATGAGGTACAGTAGCACTTGACCCCTTGAAAAGGTGATACCAAATGACAGTTGAATCAACGGTTGGCTCGTTTACTTCAAACATCTACGCTTGGCATTTCGTATCGATTGGACGTGGTGCCTGAGCCGAAGATCTCAGGACCCCCCTCAGCGTTTTTGCTCTGCCCAGCGGCCGAAGACCGTGGTGCGCGGGTTCGGTGATGTCCTGATTTTCGAGGCATCTCGACGTGGTTTTCAAAGCAGTCAACGTCACAGAAAGCCAATGGACCATAAACGATGGGCATGCATTGGAACAACTAGGAACAAGGGCATTGCTACTAGGAGCAAGAAGCTACTAGCAGTAGCTCCTGGCATTACTACTAGTAACAAGAAGCTACTAGGGGCTCCTGGCCTTACTACTAGGAGCCAGGACGCTACTAGGGGGCTCCTGGCATCGCTGCTAGGAACAAGGACGCTACTAGGGTAGCCGGTCCGGACATGAAGACCCAAAGGGCCCTAAAGGATCCTAAAGGTCCCAAGCCATAGTGCCATGATGCGCCTTGGTTAGGAGCCCGAAGCAAAGGTAGAGAGAAAAGCACGACGCGGGATATCAACGAGCAAATACAAGAAATTTTTATAATGGGAAGCAAGGCAATTGGAAGTCCAGAAACGAATACGCACCAACCTCTTGTATATAACTTTGTGGAAGGGGAACAACTGATTCGCATCGATTGAGTCTGAGGCATTCTCTATGTTGAGGCAACACCATGTCTTATGTTCATTTCCATCAAAACAATGCACCCGTTTGGCCAACGAATCCAACGTCCCCAGCTCCCCGCCTGTGAAGGATATCACGCTGAGACATCTGATGCCCTCTGGGCAGTTCGTCAAAGGCCACTTGAACGTACCTGGCATGTCCCAGACCATCAACGGCGCCGCTCATTCCAACGATGACCTCCCCCGCTCAAAACACTGAACAAGTTCTCTCGGAAGTGACACAAGACCTATCACCTCAATTGTCATAGAACAGCCTTCTGGAGACGACCCTCAAGCTGGTGCAGCAGGGGAAAGGACAAGTGATGCACACCTTTTTCGCACTACGTATTTACTGTATATAGTTATATAACATTGTATGTTACATCAAAAATCATCAATATAAATATACACCTTCCTAAATCCCCCTGCTTCAGTACACTCTTCCTCCTAGGAATCTCTCAGAAGCGACTGTTTCCATGGCGCACTGGTTGGTCCAGAGGTTCATGTCTGGAACCACTTGCATGACCTAGATGTGGCTCCAAAACATAAGACTCACACATCCCGCTGGTTTTGCAGTAGATGGTCTTGGTATGTCTTGGTCATGTTATCCATTTTACCAGGGGGGTGGATGGCCAACTACTTTTAGGAGCCTTCGCCACCGATAGCTCTTGAGATCTCTTGAGATTTTCAGCACTGCAAATCGGCACCAAGGAAGACCGAGTCATATCGATTCATGCACCGTGGATCTGAAGGGCCAATCTTTTTACCATGGCTCATCTTCACAGGCTGCAGAATCAAGTTCTCAGAACACAGGTATACTATACTTGATTATTCAATCTTATTCAGTGCTATTCAACTGGTTTCACACCGCAAAAACAAACATCCAACCATCCCAACTGTTTTGTATCCATCCATTTGAATCCACCTAACAACGATCTCTGGTGCTTGGTTGGGTCTCCCGGCCCGACGCGGCCGTAAATGAGGCTTGGTCGGATGCACTGGCACCTGCCGCTAGCGACGGCAGCTGGAAGGGATCGATCACCAGGGATCGACTGTGGCAACTTCATGCATAGAAGCTACTAGGAACAAGGGCAGCGCTACTACTAACAAGGTCATTACTACTAGTAGCTAGAAGCTACTAGTAACAAGGGCTACTTAATATTTAACTATCATATGTCATCATAGAAGATCACTGGTGCGTGAGAGCAGTTTGACATGTCTCATGAATTTGAGTGGCACCGTAGCTGAAGCATCTCTAGCCTCTTACATGTTGCAGGTGAAAGTGCTATCCTCGAACCAGCCTCTTTGGCAGCTTGAAAGGTCTTGCCAATCTTTTGGGCAAGCTCCTGAAAGTGATGCCTTTTGGGTGAGGAAGAGCTTCACTAAAAGGTGCTTGAGAATTGTTGCTTGCATGATTCGGCATGCTGCTCTTGATCTTGAATCTTGAACATCGCAGGAAAACAAACAAATCAAGAGGCACCCAATGGCAAATGGGCCCAGCGCACTGCTACTGCTGCCCTGCCAGAAGCCGGCATGACTCCCTCAATGCAACAGCATGTGGACACGTCCCAATCCCAGCCAGCATTCCACCACCTGTTGTTTACAGGGCGAGGCAAAGCCCGCTGCTGAAAAGATCTTATAAGGCAACCTCTTGTGATTGTCGTTGACGCCCTACAGATTCACTTGTCGCCAGGTTCTAGACCATAAAGCAACAAGCTCCCTGAACCGAGGCTTCTCATCCGTCGTAGCACAGCGTCTGTTCCAACCCCAGACCCCTAACCGCTCCTCTTTGCTTCCGTAACCTGGAGGATCTCTGAAGATTTTCTTCTCCGCGGCGTTCCGCCCTGCCGGAGCGGAAGTTGCAGACTCGACATGACCTCGACACGATCCATCTCGATCCTTCAAAGGCTTCAAAGGTGCCAATCTGTGGATCGACTGTTCTTCGTTTCATCTTGAGACCCTCCAAAAAATGCCCATGCTACCCTTCATGTTCGCAAAAACTCTTCGCAGCAACTCTCAATGCCTGTGGTAAAGCGCTGCCGCTCGGTGAAAACGTCCTCGGTCGAAGCACCGTGGGCCTTCTGGGCCTTTCGGGGTCCCGTGATGTCCCGTGCCACTTCGTGAGGAAAGTCTGCCAATTCAGAAACGACGGCAGTCATGAGAAGAATCCGCATGTATAGAGGGACTAGCAGATTGGCAATGGATCCTGTGGTTGAAGTTTCTAGGTCAGCCGAGTCAGCTGGCTCCCTACAGTATCCTCGTATATCCTCGTGCATCCTCTGAGTATCGCCCCCACCCCAGTCTTCAGCTTGAGAAAGAAATGCCAGTGCCTATTCTTTTGTGGCATCAATGATGTCGCTCGTAAAGCTGCCTCTTCACTCTTCACCTACTCTTCACCTCCCAAGGTTGCACCCTGGAAGACAACCTTCGCCTGCTTGTCCTGGCTTCGTCTTCCTTTGGTGGAAAACATCGCGACCCCAGAAACGGCCGTCACCGGGGGCGACGTCTCAGCGACTGGTCGAGACGGATCCATTGACTCGGCGACCCGTCTCGGTCGCGCGAAAGGCTCTGAAATTACATGAAATCACCCCATCTGCCCAGTTCAGTTTGAAGCTCTTTGATGCTTTTGTACGTCGTACACACCAGATTCAGAAGGAAAGTAGGAATGGAATCGGAATGGAACAAGCAAACTTAGTTTGTCCATTCAAATTTCCGGGTTGGTTGAGTTCCCTTGGCAATATAACCTACTAAGAACGCCTTGGTCAAGGTCTTGAAGCTCTGAAGCAGGAAGACTTCCAGCTTCGAACCACCGGGGCTCTGCCACCGAAATACGAAAGGACATGTTCGCTTCTTTGTAGATCCAAAGATGATGGATTCCGACAAGCCCAACTTGGTAAAGGAATGTAGTACTTCAATTGTTCACGAGATTCCATGATTCGAGAATGAGTATATACTCGAGAATGAGCATCAGAAGGTGCGTGAATCGTCATTACCTCAGTCCACCTTTCCACGTCTTCCACTTCACACCCAGTGTCATTGGTGATGTGTTGAGTCAACTGCAAGCCAAAGGCCTAGCAGGGGTGCGCAGGATGCCGCAGGTGGGGTGCGCTTCGGCAAGCGCACCATGGGCTGAATTGACTGGACCATCCTATCTCCAACAAGGGAACAATTCAATGGACCCCCATGCATGGACGACGCCCTCCCTGGGCCCCCCCGCACCAGAATTGAGAAATGAAGATGTTTGAGCTTGAAAGGGGTTGAAAACAAAAGAGAGTTAATGAATCCCATTGAGAACTATTGGAACTCTGGGTGTCTATCAAGTCAGTCAGAATCCAGTGGTTGATTGATGGGATCTGGATAGAATTGGTTAATTTATAGTTTCTACCTATCCACTGTCCACCAAAAGTGTTGAGACCAATGTGGAAGGATGTGGAAGGCCTCCTTTCAAGTGACACTTCCGCGCAGTGGCCGTGGCCCGGCCGTGCAAGGCTGCAGGACAAATGATACTCCTTCCCAGGTCACAAAGGACAAAGGAAGGACAACCCAGAAATTTTGGAGCAAAAGCTTAGAATCTTGATACAATCATATACAATCTCTTCTTTTCTCACCAGTATATATAATCCAATGTAATCCTGTGTCGTCCAAATCTTGGCACTTCCGCTCTTACCACTCGGCATCTCACCCCACCTGCCGGTGATAGGCCTCGGTGGGCTCTGACAACTTCGCCCGCCTTGCTCGGTGCGGCGAACGGCAGCGCCCGGTGCGGATGGGACGAATCGCCTGCACTTGGAACGGTTGACAAGGACGAATTGAAATGATTCCAGGATTATATCGAGAAATACCCTTGCTGGACTTGATTTAGATAGCCACAAAATAGACTCAATACAGACTCAATCTATAAACACCTCAGTTGGAGTCATACCTCCAAATAGGATCCCGCAATGAGTGTTGGTCTTGTGTGAGATACATGTCTGCACAATGGCCTTAGGAGCTTCCCAAAGTTCAAAACACAGCCATCTTGAGCAAATGGGAACACCACCTGCAGAATCACCGAAGGTTTTGATGTGCTAAGTACAGTGTAGCCCTGAGGTGATGGTGACCTTCCATACTAGAAAGTCCATGGTTGGTCCCTGATAAGCAGCATGTTCCTCTAGTTTCACAAGCTAGTGACAGCAAGCTAGTCACGAGTAGTCACTGGCAATGGCCTAGGCACTCTGTTGGCATCTTTGGAAATCAAAGGTTTGGGTGGTCTCAGAATAGTTGATTCCCGTTTCAACACGTGTTGTGGATCAGCAGATTGAGAAGCATTGGTACCCCCTTCAAATGTGACATGGTAGGCATTGTAGGTGTTGACTTACATGGGTGTGACCAATGATATAACATGATATCATCCAGTGGTTGGTTGGAAGGGGAAAAATCGTGCCCAAACAGGTCTGAGGCCCAAGGCTTCTGAAGCCGTTCTCGCTCTTCGTCAGGAAGCTGGCAAGAGCAAACGCTGGCTGACTTATCTAAGTACAAATAAAACTGGCACCATCACAAACCAGAAACCGAGTCCGATATCGACACGGGTTTGAGATGGGTATTGGGATGTTTGGTGACCCCAAGTTGTTGGTTCTTTTGGCAATCTTCTCTGATGTTTTGATGTCATATATAATACGGCCTGTGAGACCAGGCAAAGCTACCATAGGGCACTCAAAGTAGGAAATAAGCACTTTTGTGCTTCCTCTCTCCGGGCGTCCTGGCCCTTCCATGGAGTGCCGAGAACTTCCTCAACTTGATAGTGAGATGATCTGTGGGTCAAAAGTCCATATACTTCTCATGCATGTCCCCTCATGCACACGCTCCAAAAGCACAACATGATCTATTTTGGAGGACGAGGACATATTGGACCATAAATGATCAATGGAACATACGAGTAACGATGTGGTGTGTCTTTTGACTGAACTAAGAAGCCTTCAAGAAACTGTTCATTCCTCAGGAGTGACTCATTCCGAGTCAGCAAACACTCGCTCCGCGTGGATTGAACGAGCGACTGAAGCTTCCTTGTCAACAGGGTACATGTTCCGCACAAATGTCGATGCCTTCTAATCAATGAAACAAGCCTAGACTTCTAGCACTGATATGCAAGCAATGGTAGATCTCATATTCCTCGCTCCATGGTCACTGTATGTCACTGTAAGGGCTGGTATCCAGGTTAAACCCAGGTAGCCAACCCCTGAGCGGAATTGGGGGGTGCCAAGGTCTGGGGTATACATTTGTGAAAGGAAGTGCGCTACCAGCGCATTCCAGGGACTATGGATGTCTACCTAGGAGGCCCAACCTTGGCCACCCACCCAAAATGGAACAGACGACCCCACCTGCTCAAAAGCTATGCGCGCGACTCTCTATCTCTCGCTCTCTCTCTCTCTCTCTGTCTGTCTCTCTCCCTCCCTCCCTCCCTCCCTCTCCCTCCCCATTCCTAGCAAGATATGAACGGCCGGGCAGTCTAAAGTTATATTAACAATACAAAACACACTTTGACATTGGTTTTCACTTAACTTAGCTCAATTCCCAGGTCGAAAATGGTGAGGGAACGGCAAGGCGAAAAGGTCGGCGAGAACTGTATGGTTGAACAGTTTTTGCAATCAGACACACAAGCGGTGGGAGAAAAAGGGTTTGGGGGACGTATCATGAACCACCATGGAATCAAAACAGAAGGATTGGAACAGCGTACTCAACCGTTGAAGCAGGTACAGGTGGATGATCAGTCCACCCCTCCCTCGTCATACCGTAGCTTCATTGCGTACGGTGGGTATGACGAGCCGTACGCTCCCTGCTTTGAAAACATGGAAAGCCCTTAGGGACAGGGTTTGACACACACACGGTGCCGCTTTGCGGCGCTCGTGCGAGGGACCTGAATAGGTACCTAAAAAGCCTTAGAAACAAAAGAAAGAAACACAGAAAGAGCAGCGCTAAGAGGGCAAGACAGAAAGGTAGGAGTAGAAAAAAGTGAATACGTAGCCCGTGACTGGGGTAGGGAAACGAGCCTCAAGAGCAACCTAAAAAGCCTGAGAGAAAGCCCAACAAACGACGAAAAGTGCAAGAAGGAAAGTGGGGGGGGCAGGGAGGGGGTGTATGTCCATGTGTGTGTACATGTGTGTGTGTGTCTGAATACTTAGCACTCTAGAGTTACTGATTACTTAGCAGAAATGAATTAAGTGCAATAGTTAGGGAGCGGGACTTTAGTCTTAAACCGCCCGGGTAGAGAAGACTAGAAAAGGGACAACAGAGGGAAAGGCACCGACACACAAGTGCGCCGAGTACCATTTCCCTCTGTTACCCTAATTAGGTCGGGAGTAGAACTCGGCGGGGAGGGGGGGGTTGGGAAACATGCCTGACCTCAAGTGGAATTCCGTTTTGTAGCCCGGCGGCTGTGGTATCATGTCGTGCAAGCCCGACGGCTTTTGAATCAGTTGATTCAGTTAAGAAAAGGTGGAAGACAAGGTGCAGTGGACGAAGTAAACCCGTTACACGGTTTCCGGAGTGAATTCAGCGCCCCTGTCACGGGGATCACACCCAGCACCCAAGTGGGACAGCTGAGCGGTTCACACCCTGACATTGGTTTTCAGTTAGCTCAATTCCCAGGTCGAAAATGGTGAGGGAACGGCAAGGCGAAAAGGTCGGCGAGAACTGTATGGTTGAACAGTGTTTGGAGTCTGACACACAAGCGGTGGGAGAAAAAAAGGGTTTGGGGGACGTATCATGAACCACCGTGGAATCAAAACAGAAGGATTGGAACAGCGTACTCAACCGTTGAAGCAGGTACAGGTGGATGATCAGTCCACCCCTCCCTCGTCATACCGTAGCTTCATTGCGTACGGTGGGTATGACGAGCCGTACGCTCCCTGCTTTGAAAACATGGAAAGCCCTTAGGGACAGGGTTTGACACACACACACACACACATAAAGACTAAAATGGTATGGGGCCCAATGGGTGTTCTATTTTTGTTTTGACTGACATGGGCCCAACCTTTTCTGAGCTAAAAGTCACAGTTATGTGCTCAAATTCACAAGGAATATGGCTAAAAAGGGAGCTCAAGCTACCCCCTTTTGAGTCTGAGCACCACCAATCGTGGATCATATGTGTTCAAAAACTCCCTCCACATCTACAAGCCGCCTCTTGAAAAAAACTTCTACGTTTCGTCCCTAAAGAAAACAACAACTCGTCCTGTGATGCCATGGATCCTCCCTGATCCCTGACAACCGTGGCTGTAAACTCGCCGCATCGGGACGTCATCGTCTTTCAGCAGCTGGCCGTCCATCGGCGGCGCCGGTGGAGCCATCGAACCTAGTTGGGCCGTCGAGCTCGACGAAGTCTTGGAGACCTAGTTGGAACCTAGAGAGAAAATGATGAAAAGAATGGGAACTGATCTTATTTGAGATAGGTCATAGGTCTGCTTTCATTGGGTGATTTCCAACCAGCGACAGGGCGGGGACAAACGTTTTGAGGTCTCCCATGGAGTCTCAGCGGGGATTTCTTCGGGAGTCCGTCGTCAGTTGCGCCCTTGATACAGCTGGCCAACTTGCAACGAGCGGTCCGTTGCCACAAGTCCAAGGCCACTTGGGCCCTCTGCTGAAAGGGGATGGACCCTGGGGGTGTGTGACACCCCCCGAAGCAAAGCTTCTGATCTTGAGAGATTCAATATGGTCCAATCATGTCCAATTGAACACGTCTGGAGTCTGGGCGTATGATCCACATCCCCAAGCTTTTCGGCATGCTTCGGATAAATCGACCAAAGCAGCGAAGGTACAGAAGTGTACCAGGATTGTTTGCAAGTTCCAACACTTCGTTGCAGCAGCAGTAAATCATTGCAACAGATTCTCAAACGTCTGAAGCAGGTTTAACATTCAGGCTTAAAAGTTGGTTGAGCCACCTATATATTTACATATGTTAACCACCCCCACAATCTATAATTAATCTATTCATCAGCAATCCTCCTTCGTTTCCACATGACATGGTGCCAGCGCCATCTCCAGGATCCCCAGCCAGGCTCGGCAGCCTGCAATGTAGAAAAGGAACCAACAAAAAGTTGTGCTTGAGATCTTTTTTTCAAAATACACAGAAACAACAGAGGTTTTCAGTTTGGGTTGCGAATCAGGCTTCTCATTCTTTGCACGACATCTTCACTTTATGTTGGATGTTGTGTCACGGCAAGTTGTCACAGTTCCAAGGAAGTTCCGAGAACTTCATCACCCTGGATGGGCACTTCTTGCCCGCTCTGCCCGCACTTCCCACGACACGTCTTGCGCCTTGCCATAGGCCTCATCCGAAGTAAAGTCCACTCGAGACCTGGGCAGTCGGCCTAGCTCCATCCGACCGCCCCGCCCAGCGGTCGGGTGGCACCTAGCTCCATCTGGTCCATCCGGTCTGGTTCTGGCGGCCAGAAGGAACACTGTTGCAAGGGGTCCATGTTCAAGTCAGTTCCATCAAGTCTGTCCCGCAACCCTGCGAATGATGGATTTCCAATGATTTCCACGAACCTCCGAATGGGCAACGGCGTGGTCGCCCTGAAGCCCCCAATCGAACTGTGCCATTCCTCCTTCTCCTGGGTCTCAAAATAAGGGTACGGTACCCGCAAGAGAGAATGGTGGCTGTCAAAAGAGGACATCTACTGTATACAATGTGGATGACAAATAGCTGTGGAAATATAATCTTGCGGCTGTTTATCATAGGAACCATTAGGAAACTTCTATATAAAACATATTTAAATTTCGATGTGTGTTCTTGTAGACGCAAATTCACTGGAATGAGCACAAGGGGTGCTGGTATTGGGGTGTTTTTTAAACCAAATCTAGTAGTGCTGATAGCTTCAAAGGCAGGTGGTTTCTCCATTTGAATGCTCATCCATCCGTGCTGGGTCGTGCCCACGTGGTAGGTAGGACCCATCCCAACCTGCTGGCAGAGCTGTTTCTTTTACTGTAGCCCTGCTGACAAACCTTGGTCATCCACGATCCTGGTGACAAAAAATGAAACACCGGCCAACTGGAATCCTGCCTAAGGACAAAGGCGCAAACTTCCGAAAACGACAACGAACATGTCATCTGGCATATCATTACTGAAGGCGCACAATATGTGTATAGTTCGATCACGACCCCCGGTAGGCCGTGTGTTGTTCTTGCGATGTTGATTTTTTGGATGCTTTTTGCATCCCAGCTCCAGGTCTTCGTTGCATTGCACAACAATACAACATATCTCAGACTGCATGCATCGCACAACAATAAAACATATCTCAGATTGCACATAACATGATGCTAGCTCATCGTATCTGAAACATATCTCAGACTGCACATAACATGATGCTAGCTCCTCGCATGTGAATTGAAGTCACCAAATATTTGCTATGTTGCACTCTAAATTGTACCCTTGCGTGGAGAATTTCCACGTTTTTGCCATTCGCCAAGTTGATGCTACATTGGGTATGGATTGGAAGTTCTGATGTCTGTAAACTTGCTTACTTGCAACAACAACACGTACGACATGGACAGTTGCTGACGGTCAGAGCTGCAAATTGTTGGGGTGGGGGGTGGGGGGGTGGGGCCAACATGATGACGTCGGTCTACATCGTCGGCCAACATAATGACGTCGGTGGGGCCAACATAATGAACGATCTGTGCAAAGTCGCTAAGCAGAGCCGGTCAGTGCAAAAAAAAAGTAGTTGTGTGATTTCGCAAAACGTGGAATTTGCAGTTGCATCTTTGAAAATGATAGTGGCGCTATAGCGCCGTGCGCATGTTCAATTAGACCGTCCTCACAAAACGCCACGGCCTACCGGTGGTCGTGCACTGTATAGTTATATACCGTGGTCAAGAAACTTGAGGTACCAGGTCCTCACATAAGAATTGCATACATGCCTGGAGAGGCATCACCCACAATAGCTTGCAACACACACATGCACAAAACAAAGCGCATCAAAAGGTTGAAGCTTAAACCATGATGAGGCATTTTGAATGCCAAGCGAGCGGCATGAGGTTATTCTGGTTGAAGAGAAATGGCCTCACACAGCGCAGCTTATGTGGTTCAATGCCTCTTCATATTCTCATCACTCCAGGATACCAGGGTGACCCAGATGATGTGGCAAAACCAACCCGGTAAGCTTTGCGTGATCTATCTAAGGAGACCGTGTGAAGACTGAGGCCATCAGCACAGTAGTCTTTTGATGTCTTTTGGGGATTGAAGATCGTGACGATTTATCCCTGGGCAACAGAGCCTTGGTCCCATACCACCAGTGTATCTGATCGCCCCGGCAGGCCACCAAAGAGTTGAACAATGTTGACCAATAGAATTGAACACGGTGAAATTCACCGTTCTTTACCTGACCCACCTCAACCTGGTCCAATTGAACCCTCAGAGAGATGGAACCCACGACAGAAGCGGTGCAAATCCACCTGAATTTGGATTCGATGGCGCCAGGCTTGTAGCTGCAAAGCCTCAGGCCGTACTATGCCGGAAATCACTCGCTCGGCGGGACAACACTTAGATGCCTCAGCCTATCCGGAGTTAGGCAAACCATCACTGGAGGCTGGAGCAAGGTGTCATGCATAGCTGCATACCCCAAATGCTGGTCACTGTTCAAGGCATGTCGGTTGACTTGAAGAATCTTGAAGAGTACTGGTACATGTGCTGCATGAAGCTCCCATATCGACAAGACCCATACATTGTATTTGATGGTGAAACCCACCTGTGCAACGATACTATCTATGGGAGGTTAACTGATTCACCTCAGCTTTGGTGAATACGTGGAGAAAGGGTAAAGGCATGGCAGTGCACAAGCTGCCACAAATGCAAAGGAACTTGGACTTCCAAAGTTCGTGCTGTCCGTGCACTTCCCTGACTTGCTTCTGTTAAACAAGGTCTGCCATGTTCCTGTGTATTTAGTTGGAGGAGTCTGTTTGCCCACGGCAATAGTACCCAAAAATACCAAATCTTGCCCCACACAGAATGCATTTCTCCTGCAAATCATCTCCAGGATTCGAAGTCAATAAACAACAAAACACCTATAAAACAATCCCAAACGTCCGTCATCCATTGTCATTGTCCAACATCCACAGAATTACAATCATTATGAAATAGAATCTAATACTCCTCTGCCAGATCCTCGATCCTCCGCAATCAAACAACCATCTTCCTCTATCTACCCCAGGAACCGCGATGCAATCAAACATCCCTCCAAACGGCACGCACTTTTCCCCCACGTCCGGACACCGCCAGGTCTCCCTGGCTGACTGATGGGCAAGGAGGCTGTGAGGATCTTGGGCACCCCCGGCACGGGTAAAAGATTCCTGTAAGAGGAGTCCTGTGCCGGCCGCTGTCTGAGTCTACTGAGTCGCCCTCCCAGATCGCAGCAAACACACATGAGTTGCCCGAAAAAAACCACATGGTTGGTTCATCTCACAAGTCACTAATGGTATCTAACGGTCATTTGCTGCTGCTAGCCAGTGTTAATGACCTCCACCAAGGATGCTTCCCTGGCTTCGTGATGAAACAATCCGACCGACGGTGAAGTATTCTTGAAATAAACAAAAACCCTGCAGTTCTCAGAGCCTGAAGCAGTCACGACCGAAGAAACTACTAAGAAAGGGCATCGCTACTAGGAACAAGAAGCTGCGAGTAGCTCCTGGCATTACTACTAGTAACAAGAAGCTACTAGGTTGGAGGCCATCGCCAATAGTAACAAAGGCATAACAATTGACACGTGTTTTGGTATATCATACTCAATGGCTTCTGAATGATATACGTCTTTCTCTCAAGAACCAGCCCACTCCTGCACTGTACCGGGGCCCCGCGCAACCAACAAACCCACGGATTTGTCGAAACTTGGACCCTGCGCGGTCTGCGCGGTTGAATGGTGGATCAGGAATTCCAACCGAACGATGTCGACTTGGTCAAACAAAGGGACCCCAGCGCTTGACTTGACAATCTCCCAGTTTAGCTAAATGCTCTAATGTTTGCTGTTGATGTGAATCAACATAGTTCCCAAGCTGGCCGTATCAACACACTGGAAACAAATACAAGTGGTTCAATATCTATGTACCCTATGTGTCTCGTTGCATTGCAGCCTATAAATGTCTTGCAAGCAGCATCTTGCATGCAGGTGCATGCAGGACCATGGATACATCCAAAAATTGCATTCCATCCACTTCCATGTATGTGTTCATCCTTCCACAAACTCCAAGTCTGTTCTTGCCCAAACAGCGTGTTCTGGTGGTTCTTGCGGTTTAGGCTAAGGATGGGTTTGATCCAGGATGCTCACTGGCGTGGGCGGCCAATTCGCTCCGACTGGCTGGAGCGGGCGCTTGTCTGAAGTCGACTTCTCGCGGCAGGTGCAAGAGATCGGGGCTTTACTTGAACATGAATGCGCAGATTTGGCGGGCGCAGCTGTGAACCTCGAAATGCAGATTTGCGAACCTTCAAGTCAAAATTGTGTGGCAGGTGCAGTGCTTGTCAGCCTGGAAGTGGAGGTATCGTGGCAAGTGTGGCACTTTGTGAAACTCGAAGTGCAAATCTCGTGGCCATCGCGGCACTTTGTGAGTGCAGAGTTCGTGGCTTTGTACACCTCGAAGTGCAGAATTGCCAGCACTTTGCACTTTGTAAACGTAGACCTTGAAGTGCAAATATGTGCTCTCAAAATACATGTGTTCTTTCATATGTGAGCTCTCACTTGTGCATGCTCTCCTGTTTGCGCGCTCATATGTGTATGTGTGTACTCTCATATGTATGCTCATACGTATGTCCTTTCGTATGTATGCTCCCACAGGTGTGCTAGTTATGTGTGTTCTCCTATTTGTGCTTACTCAAACCTGTGCTCTCATATGTGGGCTCTAATATATGTGTGTGTGTGTCTTCTCCAGGTCCGCTCTTGTTTGTGTGCTCTCACATGTGCTCACCCATAGCTGTGCTCTCATACAAGTATGTGTATTCTCACATATATTATACATATGTGCTCTCGTGTATGTGGAGTGCGGAAGTTCGCTTATTCACCCATGTTACTTACTTTGTTCCACTTAACACTGTTGGAGGTCTCTTGCCGGGATATTTTTGTGGCGAGCCTGCTCAGTGGCAAGGGCTGGATCGCAACGGTCCGCAGAAGGATCGATACCGACCACTTCGTTGTCAAACAAATGGAACTGCCTTAACCAAAAAGGTTGTCTCTCTCTCTCTCCCCCTCTCTCTCTCTCTGTGATGGTTCTTTGGCTTCAGATTTGACAATCTGAGGAATGGTCCTTAGGGTCCATTTGGGCACAACAGTTTAAGATAATAATTAGTTTAAGTTTGAATTCCACCTCAGCCTCTTATCAACCTGGTATCCCGCTACATCTGGGGCAATTAATGGGATAGGAAACAAAATGGAAACCAGAATCTTTGCGGTGTTTTGGCTCTTCTTAGCTGGTGAACACATGTGAACACCACGGTCGTCAGTCTCTGCGTTTTCAGCCTGGTGGTTTCCGTGGTTTCCCTCCCGCAGCCGCTTCACCCCACCTGAAGACGGCGCCGTTCGATGCGGGTGCTCTGTTGATGCACCGGTGATGGTGTTCATCTCTCGTTTGTTCCAAGTCCCCCTTGGTCCCTTGTAACAAAGAAAGTCCCCCTTGGATTTTGCAAACCCAAGCAATTTTGGACACATCGGTGGTAGAGAATGCACTGGACGCTTTGAAACCATCGGCAGACCATTGTGGATCCAAACATTGTAGGAGAAAGCTCCTCGTGTCTGTAAACGGGCACGACCTAAATACTTTTACCGTGCACCTTGGGCAAATCTGGGCATTTTGGATGAAAAACTCCGCACGGGGTTCACTTCCCAGGTGATTCCAGTAGCGGTTCCTGCATCAAGAGCCACGGAGATTTAGATTTGGATCAAAGGCAACAATCTACTACAATACAACGCACATGTAACATATCTCATGTTTTTGTTGACTGATGTTGACTGGCTAGCATTGTAGTCTCTGACTGTAGAGCTTTATCACCTCATCACAAATCGAGTCTACATCACTCCAACCAAAGGTCTTAAGCGTTAGTTTTCAGTTTTGAGTGCAGCAAGTTAGTTTAACTGCTTTGGGTACATCATGGTACATCATAGTATATCAGTATATCATAGTAGTAAACTTATGTACACTTTGTTGGGATGGTGGTCTGTTGGTGTGCCACGTACGACGTACGGTTCATCCAAATGCCTTTGACACACAAAGCTACAAAATTTTGGCATTCAAGAATGTATTGCCGAACACTCCCCCAAAAGAAGCACCGCAAGGCACACGTTCATCCAAGAACAAATATCAAGAATCAGTTCAACATGCAATGTCATACAATGATGCTCAATAACATGCAGTTCTGCAAGGTACACGCGCATCCGCTACCACCAAACAGCAATGCAACGGCTTAACCCCAGCACCCAGTAAGGTTGGAGGCCATCGCTCTTAGGTTGGGGGCCATCGCTAGTAGGTTGGAGGCCATCGCTCTTAGGTTGGGGGCCATCGTTAGTAGGTTGGAGGCCATTGCGCTTAGGTTGGAGGCCATCGTTAGTAGGTTGGAGGCCATTGCTCTTAGGTTGGGGGCCATCGTTAGTAGGTTGGAGGCCATTCTGCTTAGGTTGGAGGCCATCATCAGTAGGTTGGAGGCCATTGCTCTTAGGTTGGGGGCCATCGTTTGTAGGTTGAAGGCCATTGCGCTTAGGTCGGAGGCCATCGTTAGTAGGTTGGAGGCCATTGTGCTTAGGTTGGAGGCCATCGTTAGATCGCCGCAAATTAAGGGGGGGGACGTCCAGAAATGTAACTTGCATGTTCCTATGGTTTCGAGCCTCAAAAATATAAGCTTACATTCTTTTTTTGGAACCCCAAAAATGTAAGCTTAGATTTTTGAGGTCCCCTGGTATTTTACTAAAAAATTCAGGGGGACCTCAAAAATGTAAGCTTACATTGTTCCTTTGTCATAGGAAAAATGTAAAATCTCCATGCTGACGTATGTCGAAGTATGCAAACATCCGGAGGCTCATAATGTAACTTACCTACGTGCGAGGTCACAATGTTACATTCACTGAGCCCCCCCCACCTCCCAAACAGTTCACCGTAGATACCTCAAAGGACCTTAACTTACA